AGAAAACAATATTATACCCTAAATATCATAAGGAATGAAGTGAGCAAGATGTGCAAAGCTATAAGGTAGAAAAAAGCATTAGCAAGCTAGCTTATATACTTAAACAACAGTGTCTTGCTACCTAGCATAGAATACAGACTACAAACAATATTTATAAGCAAATTAAAATGTGAAAACTTACAAAGACTAATTTAAACTTTAATCAAAAACAAACTTGAGCTAGTTAAGTCAATAGCAAACTCAATTTGTAGCTATATAGGTTTCTTGAGCATAAGATCAATCTGACAAAACCAGCTTGCATATCATTTTATAGAGCTTACTCTACGTCTCAACTAACAAGATCCTCTAGAAGTAACAACAAGACTAAGAGTTAAAGAAGATCAACTACAAGGCAAATATCTATGCAGCCCTCTGAGCAAGGACTGTAAGTTTAACAAGCCAGTTCCTACATATAATTTGGCTATAAAAGTATTGCATAAAGCAGCTAAACTAAATATAAAGATCAATGAGATCTTGAAGACTCTAATACTCTCAATATTAAAGGAACAGAAATTTCAAGCTTACTAGATACAAAAGAACTTCGTATCTTTTTAAACCTAGACAAGATAAATCTTTTCACACTAGAGCAGCTTATAAATAGTACAGAAAGTCATCTGCTAACCTGGGATCAACTAAAATATATAAGAGGTAGAAAAACAAAAAACCATATTCCAAGCTAGTTTAAAAAACTTGAAGAGAGGATACTGAAAGAAAACAGCTCTAGAGAAGTACAAGACTTATACAAAGTAAAGAGCTCTAATAGAGAAGTAATAAAAACTTAACTAAAAGTTATTTCTAAAGATAGACAGAAAAAAAAATGGATACTTTTCCAAAGAAGAAGAAACTTTCATATAGGAAAAATAGCAAGGAAAACAGAGAAGCTTGTAATAGTTGAGCACTGGAGACAATCAAGCCAACTAGCAGAGGACTACTTATTTGACAAGTATAACTGTTGCAATATAGGAAGTACTAGTAATAATAAGTGTCTAGTCAGCATCAGATATGATGAAAGATCTCAGGTAGTCAAAGTAAAGAAAATCAATGAAAAAGAAGTAATATTGAGAACACTACTTTCAGTACTTATTGAGAATAAAAAATCTTGCATAAATCATGAGACAAACCAAGAGGTATTAGTAGAAATCACAGCAAACAGCCTCGAAAGTGCAATTATACAAAGAGTAGTAGAAAACAAAAGAATAGAGAGAGAGCTAGTAGATACATATAAGAAACTAAAAGAGGAGGAGGTTATCAGATATTATACAGATAATACACTAGCAGAAAATAGCAGAGAGAGGGAATCAGGTAGAATAGGAGCTAGTTGGTTAGTTAGAAGTAAGAAGGAGTTAGATAGTAGTATTAGTTTTAGTTGTGGTATAGAAAACTGGTCTTCATCAACTTGTGCAAAATTAAGAGCTATATAGACAGCTTTGCTATCAGCATTGTGTGAGGCTCAAATATATATATTTACTGATAGCAAAGTAGTAATAGAAGCTATTGAAAAGTGTATAGATAATAACAAGCTAAGAAGTTAGTTTAAAATGAAAAACAGAAGTTTACTGAGACAAATAAAAAACTACTATGTAGCAAAAAGTCTAAATTTGTCATTACACAAAGTCAAAGGTCATAGCGATGACAAATGGAATGAGCAAGCAAATTACTTAGCTAAAGAAGGTACTAGAAGAACTGATATACTTAAAGTACTAGAGACAATACTAGGTAATATCTAAGCTATCCTAAAATAGAAAGACTAATTAATAAACTGCTTGCTTAGGTCATTTATAAACATAACAACCACAATAACATATGAAACAGAATAAGCTGAACTAAGCAAAACAGCAGATATCATAGCCTTGAATCAAGAAGATGACTTCAGCAAAGAGCCAATTTGAAAAAACACTTAGGAAGCACTAAAGAAGTAACAAAGGAAAAAGTGTATTAGTTTAAAGAAAAGCAGAGACCTCATATTTCACATAAAATACATCAATAATATTCTACTAACAAAAGATATTTGCTACTTGAGAAACTCCAAACTATACAAGAGCAGAAAATGTATAGCCTACTTAAGAAAGGATGAAACCTTGTATCACCTAGCAGAATATGAAATCTACTAAAAAATATGAAGAAATCTAGAAGAGGAAACTCTATACCTAACAAGTCTCGAGGTGTTAACAAAGTTAGATCTATCATTTGAGGACGATACATTGAGGAAAGCACTCTATAGTAAAGATCTAAAAGAAAAAATACATATTAGAAAGATGTATCTCAGAAGCCTCACAAATAAGAAGCAACATGCAGATATATGCAAAATAGTATAGTTTAAAAGCAAGACAAACAAAGTATTAACAAGTTTTATTAAACAATTCTGGTCTTGTTTTTACAAACAACTATAGAAGTTCAGGTGTGAAGTGATAGTTGAATGGAAAAGAAAAAACAATATCACAACCAAAGAAAAAAGAAAAAAAAAGACAAGAAAAAAAGGAAAGGTAAATAAAGAGAACATACCTCTTTTAAACAAAACAAAGAAATCTAAGAAGGAAAAAAAAACAAAAATTCAAAAAGAAACTTCTGACAGAGTTGATAAATAGATAAGGTTAGGTGGTAAGAAAGGATAGTTAAGGTTCAAAACAAATTAGATGATTTTGATATAGACTGGTAGTAACCTCTCATTGACTAAGAGCTAGAAATTTGTATATACAAATTTAAACTCTTACAAGAGAAATAGTTGCTGTAGCAGATCATATTTAGGTGCTAAAAAGTAACTAAGTGAGTTCTGATTAGTTTTAGGAAAGTAGTTTGCTGTAAATAGTGTAGCATTTTACTTGTAGCTTGGATTAGCTTATTCTTAATAAAATGATGAGCAAGATCACTTAAATTAAAAAAATATATATATATATATTTATATTTAGAAGATATATATTTAAAGAAATATAATTATATATATAATATTAAATTTAAATATATTTATAAACTTTAAACTAAATCTAACTAAACTAAATTTTAAATTCGAATTTATAAATTTTAAATTTAGTTTAAATTCAGATTTAATAATCTACAAAATTTGTAGTTTAGATTTAATAAACTTTGAATATAAATCTAAACTAAACTAAACTAAATCTAGAAACACTATTTATTTGATTAGCAGAAATTAATAACTAAAATTATATTTTTAACTAATTATATACTTGTTATATAAGTAAATATATAATAGTTGTTATTTATATATAACTATATATATCAAATTAATAAAAATATATTAATAAAGGATTTTACTATTTTTTGTAAGCAAAGATTATAAAGTATTATAAAATATATCTTTTTATTTAAAAGACATTTAGTATTTTTTTTTTTTTTTTAAAAAAAAAGGTATTTGCTAATACTATTTCTTCAAAAATAGTTGAATATAGTTACTTAATAATATATATTGTATAATAGTATGTTTTTTAATAAATATAAAAATTAATATAGTAACAAATCAACTTTAAGTACAACGTATGTAAAAACAAATACGACGAAAGTTACGATACGTAGAATTATTCCGAAAAAAAAAAAAAAAAAATACAATATCGATATAAAAATAATTTTTATGCATATTATCGTAGTTACGCATATAAAGCTGCATATAACGCCCGCGCTCCTTTACCAGATTTAACAACGATTTACAAAATAAGAGAAAATGTTTACGCGAGGATGAAAAACTTAAAATATTACTATAACGATATAAATTTCATGTATGTACACATTCCTGTATTTTTAAAATTAAATAAGTGAATATGAAATGGAATAAATGAATGAAATGTTCTTAATACCATTCGTTTACGTTGAACCTCAAAATACTAAAAAAAAAAAATTCACTTACACGATCAAATGACTTTAAAAAAGAATAATTGGTTAATTTTTTCTTTGTTTATAACTGATACGTAACAAAATACCTGCAGTATAATGAACTACTATTATAATTTTCCATACTGGTAACAATGCATTTAAACGTTTAATTGTTTATTTATAAAAAAAATGTGTATCATATAATAATAATAATATTTGTTGCATTTTTTTAACCGGTATTTTTGTGTAAACTTTTTTTTTTTATTTATATTACGTATCGTTTATTATCGTTATTTGTTAAAAAATGCAGTTTAATAAATTATTGTACCCTAAATAAGTATAAAGATAATTCGTTAAAAATTTTTAAAGTCTAATGTAATAGATCACAAGGTTCAAAGCACGATTGTGTGGACCCTGACCGTAGAACAAAAAAACGTTTAACGTTAATGTGAAAATTAAAATTAAAATTTTTACGTACCGATAGATAATTTTCTAGAATAGCGATAGTATATACAGTATATATATCAGATATATATATATATATATATATATATAAGTAATCAAAATTTATATATTGTGAACAAGAAAGAATTAATGTTTATTATGAAACGTGTATCATATTTCTATCATTTACAACGAGATATATACTGTATATAAATCAAAATGAAAAAAAAAAATATAACAGAAAAATACAAAAAGTTTTATAATTAAAAAAAATAAAATAAAATTGTACAAAAAAAAAAAAAAATCGATCTTGTTCCTTTCATTTACCTAACGGATGTAAACTATAGTGTTATTTACAAATTTCCTAATTTTTTTTTTTTTTTTTTTTTTTCTTTTTTTTTTAATGAAAATAAAATTTTCAATAATTACTTATGAAATGCTTATAAAATTACAAATGATCTACATACAAGTATATATAGAATGATGATAATTTTTTAACCAATCAAATCAAATCAAATCCAAATCAAATCTGTTATATGCTTATAACAAAAATATTTAAATCAATCAAAGAATTTGTTGTAATGAAATGAGAATGTTTATATCATAAAGTTTAAAGCATACATTTTTCATGTATTAGGAGTCATCAGAAAACTTGATATTGAAATTTCAAAAAGAAACATATAATATAACCTAAACTATCCAGAGCAATTATCATCATGATCTTCACAAATTTCAGAAAAAACGTCTTCTTCTTCTTCACCAACATCTTCGGGCTTAATACCATTAGTATCTTTGTATATCCTTTCAAAGGACTGACATAAATTTTTAAGCCCTAATAAGTACCCTTTATCGTAACCTTCACGTGGAGGATATTTACATTCTTCAGGTAAATAATCTTTGCCAGTAGTACAATTGGCAAAATCAATTATTTTAACATCTATATCTCTTGGATTGCTTTCATCACCATCATA